CGTTTTCTCTTGAAATACATTGGGTGCAGCCTTGCACCACACCAGTTGCGTGTATGCGCTACACTATACTAGAGTGGTACACACCATAGGTGACCCTACACGGTCAATAATACTGTCAGTATTAACAAATACTAACAATATTATTAATTGTGTGTAGTTAATATTGATGAATTGACGTAGACTATTATTATATAGACGGTGATCTGGATTCTTGAGCATCAGTATTGCTTTATTAAAATTCAGTATGTCACAATGCAATAGATATTACACAAAACTAAAGTGAAATATATTGTCAATAATACTAATCGTGTAATTAAAAATACTAAATATATTAATGCATACTGTCATTATTACTGATTTAATATTACTGATCAGTATTATTGATCATGTAAGGTCAATCACCTCATAGTGTACACTACATCATTATTACGCTAAACTTTGAGACAGTGTAGCAAAATCTCACTTCGTGTATAAAATTTGCATTACACTGTAGCCACGGAAACACGGTACACTGTCAGAGTATATAGTGCAGCCAAGAGAAAAAACGCTACAAGAGTATAAAATAATTTTTTCGTTACACATACGCATAAATATTCAGTCGCTGGAAGTATTACCAAATAATACACTAAGTATATTATATTTCACCTGTTTAATAAATATAAATAGTATATTTTTTTCTAGAGAAGAGGAATATACAGGGTCTGGTAAATTTTTGGCAAAGTACTCGTGTGTAGATAGAGCGGACTAAACTGAATCGAAAAGTCTTCTACCATTTTGCAATTTTCGTAATAGTAACAGGATACTAATTACTAAAAATCGCTAAATTTTGGTCTTAAATAATTTTTTACTCAATTATTATCAACTTGACAGAAAAGCAAGAGACAAAAATTGTTTATTTTCTTCTCATAAAGTTCTAAGAATTTTTTCAGAATTTTTTAATACCATATTTTCTCATGTTGGTAAAAATAAAAAAAATGTACTAAAAACTTGATAAAAAATTCTGAAAAAATTCTTAGAGTTCTATGAGAAGAAAATAAACAATTTTTATTTTTCGCAGTTTTTTTGTAAAGTTGATAGTGTTTGAGAAAAAAATTATTGAAAACCAAAATTCGGCAATTTTTAGTAATTAATATTTTGTTTTAATTATTGCGAAAATTGCAAAATAGAGGACGTTTCGACTCAGTTTAGTCCGCTCTACCTATATACGAGCACTTTGTAAAAACTTACCGGATATCTTGTGTATATTTTGCCGGCACATGCTTCTCGATAAATTAATATATAAAATGTTAATAGAACAAAAAATTTAAGAAATAAGCAATAATTTGTTTAAATAAAAATTCTTAATCCCCTAGCTCGCTATTGTTATTTTTGATGATCTTTTCTTGATCATCTCTGAATTGAATGAATATTTTTTAGCTTAAAACGTATGAAATCTATATCTCAAAATCAAACTAAGACAGATAAATATAAATTACAAAAATATTTTATTTTCAATTAATTATAATAGCTCAAAAGATTTTTGGAAAAATTTGTAAAAAATGGCTATTTTTGCAATTCTCAAATTTGTAAATTTAAACTTTAAATAAAAAACCGGGTTTTTTAATTCATTCTGTAGACATTTAACAGATAGAAGAACTCTTCATATAAACATTAAATAACAATAAATAAAGCGCAAAGTAAGAGTCAAACACATTTAAAATTTAACACAATTAAATAGAATAAAATACAAATAAAGAAAAAGAAAAACAGTCTAAATTCAAATATAAAACATGTAATTAATTAGAAAATTAAACAACAGGTACCAAGTTTCGGCTACCGGATTGAGCTCTCTTCAGATATTTACTTATCGCAAAGATCGATGTACAAAATTAGTTATTGAAAATACCCACATATTCCTTATAATACCAGCTCGAGTGAGTCTTTATGTAGAACTCGACATTGCATACGATTGGATAGTCAAATATGTTCAATGTTTCTTGGAAAAAGATCTAATCAATAAATAAGATAAAGAAAAGTCTTCTTACGAAATACTAAAACACATTAAAGTAACATATCGGAATTCTAATAACTAAAAATTCACCAAAAGCTATAAATAAAATAAAGCTGTAAATTATTCGAACAAGTTCATCCATATAAGTATAAAAATCAATTAAAGTCCAAATAAAAAGAACCAGTACAGCGTCAAGTTTCACAGTAAAATTGAGCCATATATAATGTCTAATAGAATACAGATATATTAGATGGACATTGTGTATCGATTATAATGTAAACTCGCTGATACGGATCAACACGAACTGAGAGAGGAGACGGACTGTCAGTATCGAAGAGTCAAACTTTATTTACAATAGGTATATATGCCTTATGGAAACCTTCAGTGTCAATTTGTAGATTTAGACTATTTCTCTGCTTGTTAATATTGACACAATCAACATCTCAGAAATTAAGCGTTTCTTATAGCAAGACTCTTCATCCAAAATTTTAACGTTGTCCCATTGGAAATCATGATCATACTGCAACCTGTGCTCAGTTATAACAGACGGGCAGACAATTGAAAACCAGAATTACAGAACATCATAATCGTATTAGACATAATACTTCTGCCTGTTCTATCTATATATGACTCAATTTTATTGTGAAACTTGACGTTATACTGGTTCTTTTTATTTGGACTTTTTAATTGGTTTTTATACTTATATGGACAAACTTGTTCGAATAATTTACACATGGCTTTTAGTTATTAGAATTCCGATTTGTTACTTTAATGTATTTTAGTATTTCGTAAGAAGACTTTTTTTAATCTTATTTATTAATTAGATCTTTTTCCAAGACATTGAACACATTTGACTGTTCAATCGTATGTGAACAATGTTGAGTTCTACATGAAAACTTATTCGAATTGATATTATAAGGAATATGCGAGTATTTTCGATAACTAATTTTGTATATAAGTAAATGTCTGAAGACAGCTCAATCCGGTAGTCGAAACTTGTAATAGTACCTGTTGTTTAAGTTTTTAATTAATTACATGTTTTATATTTGAATTTAGACTATTATTTTTATTTTTATTTTTCTTTATTTGTATTTTATTCTATTTGTGTTAAATTTAAAATGTGTTTGACTCTTTGCCCTTTATTTATTGTTATTTGATTATTCTTTAGATTAATAAAAAAAATAGTACAACATAAATCACTCAAAAAAGTAATATAATTATTTGAAGTATCGAAAATCGAATTTTTACAAAATCTATATATCATGATTTTACAATTTAATGAATAAAATTTTATTATTTAGAACTATCTACAAATCTGTCTGTCATTGTGCTTCTTTTATTCCTTGACTTTGATAGAACCGAGATTACGCTAATAGTTTAGAGCTTATGATATAGCTGAAACGATAGTATATTGGGCCCAGCTGATCCCTCAAGACTAATAGATCATAAAATTTCTATTAATTATACATGTCAAAATTACTATAGCGACTTCAGCATATAAAAATGAGTCAAAAATGTCTAATAAACATGTATCTAATTTCGAACAGTTTCAAAGTTATGGAATATTGAAGTAAGAAAACATGAATCGTACAGTAAATGTTGTTTAATATTTGTTATTCTGTTGTTTTGAATCCTTTCCTGATAGACTAGATCTTTCATTTGTCTTCAAAATGTAAACAAATACATGTTAAGGATGACTTCCTGTGCAAACGTTTCTCCATCAATATCCTCATTGAATTGGAAAAGACTAAGATACTCCTATTAAATGGTCAGCGAGAAGTCCCAACCTCACTGGATTTTTTCTTTGAGGACGAATGAAAAATCAGGAAACACGGTAGTGTCTCGGCGCTAAGCTAAGCGTCTAATCTACCAGAATGAGATTCAGAATGCAGAATAGTTATGGCAACTAATTTTTTTTACGCTGCTGATATCCGCGAATATTATAAAATAAATAAATATTTGTCATCAAATCCGAAACAATTTCTTAATTCGTGCTAGAAAGTGTGTCGAAGTCGAGAAATTTTTGAATATATTTTATAAAGCATTAAATAAAATAACGAACATTAAACAACACTTACTACAATTCATGTTTTCTTTAATATCCCGTAACTCCTCTGTTCAGAATCAGACATATTTATTAGACATTTTTCGACTTTGACAATAAATGAAAAAACAAGTAATTAAGAGCCTAAATTCGTAATAATTGGAGCGATTATATCAACATATATTTCTCAGTACTACATATATATAACAAATACCAAACGTTTCGACTTAATTCAAGCCATCTTCAGCAGTCTAGTATAATAAAAACTCTTGATAAATAATTCAAGACATCTTGGTAGTCTCGTATAATATAGCTTCCTTAATACAATTCAAGTTGGAAATCAAAGTGCAGCAAAGGAGTCTCTCAGATTATCAAATCTGAAGTATGTCATTTAGCTGTTAGACTAAGTGCGAGCTAAATAAAAAATAATATATAAGAAGGACAGTTACTATAAAGAAAGATCACCAATTTATTACGGAAACTTATCTATTGCACTCCATAACTGTTTTTTTACCAGATATTTATGATAAATTTAGAAATATTACTAAGAATTTTAATGTCAGATTATCTTTCTTTAGATTAAATAAACTTGACGGAATCATTAAAGCTCAAAAAGATGTTTTACCACACGATTCTAAGAAAAATGTTGTATATAAGATTAATTGTAAAAATTGTAATGCTTCCTATGTGGGACAGACGGATCGTAAGTTAAAGACTAGAATTAATGAACATAAAAATGATATTAATATTAAAAATAATGGTAATTTATCTGTTATTTGAAAATATAGATTAGAATTTGACCATGAATTTGATTGGAATAACATAAAATTTTAGATAACGAGAGATATTTTGGTAAAAGATTGGTGTCAGAAATATTCAATATTAAAATGCAAGAGAATGGATTAAATTTGAAATCAGACACAGAATTCTTGCTTATACGAACATAATAAATAAATTTTTATTTTATTAAATAAATTTCGTTTTTGGATTATTTAACTATACTCTATTTTTTATCTATGTATTTTCTTTATTCGATGACATTTACTTTCTTGATATTGTTGTACTTACAATATTTATTCTTTCATGTTAATTTATATATGTGACTCTTGCTTTAACACTGTGAATATGTCGCTAAAGAATGTTTGGCGTTGTGATATTCTTTTTGCCGATCGTGATTTAATTTATAGTATTTTATTGTGCAGTTATAGAATGCAGTAGGTAAGTTTCCATAAATTGGTGATCTTTCTTTATGGTAACTGTCCTTTTTATATATATTATTTTTTATTTAGCTCGATTACTTTGATTTATGATTACTTAAATTGTATTAAGGAAGTTGTATTATACGAGACTACAAATGTCTCGAATTATTTATCAAGAGTTTTTATTATACTAGACTGCTGAAGATTGCGGCTTGAATTAAGCCGAAACGTTCTGTATTTGTTATGTATATGTAGTACTGAGAAATATATGTTGATATAATTGCTCCAATTACTACGAATTTAATTAATTGCCCGTTTTTTCATTTATTGTTTAGTTTTTATCTCAAGATCCCAACTTTAATTATTCATTTTTAACTTGTTTTCATATGCTAAAGCTGCTATAGCAGTTTTGGTATTATATGCAGAGACACCCTATATATTGAGATTTTTTTTAAATAGAAGTAATAAAAATTTTACAAAAAAGTGTTTCAGACAAAAGTTGTAAGGACACATCTTATTTTCATTTGTGTATTGAAAATTCATTTTTATGTAAAAATGAAAATAAGAGAAACAATCTCCAATGACCTTGATCTTAACGAATGTTATCCAGGACATGTCTTGAACAACACTCAAAAGGTTTTAGTCATCGATCAGACACTTTGTGTAATGCTAATGTCGGCGGTACTGTAACTTTCAAGCCTAATTTGAAAAGTACTTTATGAAAAATAATTTTATTGTGTTTTGAAAAGTTCTTGCACCAGCTATTAGATTCTGAAATCACAAGTAGGGTGTTCCATTTTAAAAAATCGATGTGACCTACAATTTTTGTCTGAAACACTTTTCTGTAAAATTTTTATTTTCCGAGATATTCCAAGGTGTCCCGATCTTTTTGGGGCATCTTGTATATCATATTTATAGTCATTCGAACTGCGCGCCGAATTTTTTTCCAGACTTATAAGCACAATTAAATTACTGTAGTAATATCGCGAATTAAATTGACAAGCAATTTTAATAATTCAATGCTTAATTAGGCATCATATTAAAAGATGTTAATATGTTGAAAAACTAAATTAGTTTTATTGTTTATATCTTATTGTTTATATTGCGTATCTTATTGTTTATATTACGTCGCCTGAAAGAAAGACATTTCCATACATATATTGATTATTGCGAAAAATATTACTAAGGTCTCGGTAATCTAAAGGCATAGGACACTCGTACGAAATACAAGAGATTCGGGTTTGACTTCCGGCCGAAGTAATATTTTCGCAATAAATTTTTTTACAATTTTTTAGTACATTAACATCTTTTTAATATGATGTCTAATTAAACATCAAATTATTAAAATTGCTTGTCAATTTAATTCGATATTGTTATAGTAGTTTAATTGCGTTTATAAGTTCGGAAAACCAATTCGGCGCGCAATTTGAATCACTATAAATATGGTGTGCGCGCGCGTGTGTGTGTATATATGCAAGTATACATATAGTCAGTGACGAGATACTATTAAAGATTGTCGGTCCTGGGCAAATTTTCGTGATTATCAATGGGGCCCGGGGAATTGAAGAACGATAACGTTCGTCGACAATTAATAAAAATATTTCGTTAATACATTATTAAATTCGTGATTTTTTTATTATATAAATGCTGTATAAATAAGTAAGTACATTTTTAATGCTAGATCTTATTATTGCCGAAAAATTACAATTTTTTCTCTGCAATTATCATCTCTATTGATAATCAAACTCGAATGATAACATTAAAATCAGTTTTAAATAAAAATCGAGTATTATTAAATTTATAACATATATGCACAAATGTCTATGAAACTAATAAATCATGAAATTAATATCGTATTATTAGTTTCTTACTCTTAATCATTTAAATTTTAACAGGCACGCGAACTTTCATAAGCGCCGATCGTCTAATAGTATCTCATCGATGGTATAGTATATATATATATGGTAATTCACACACGCGCGCGCGCGCGCGCGCACACACACACACACACACACACACACAGATTGAATTATTTAAAAATCTAGCTTTGATCGTTACGGCCATTACTTGTGTTTCTTATTGTTGGTTTTCAAATGTACGATCCAGCAAAATTCTTAATTTTTTTTTATTCTACAATTTAATGTATTTAATGTATAAATGTTAAGTTTAGCCCTCCTCACGTCCAATCTTGATGAAACCAAATTTATTTGACGGGTCTTTACATAAAACGGTAAATGTTAAATTTAACCTCCCTCACATTCATTATTTTTATTCAACCCAAGATCCGGTAAACATATATTTAATAAAAAATGAAAAGATATTCAGAACATCGAAAACGAACTAGCCACACGCGAGTTGGCTCGTTTCATGCTACTACTCTCACGTTGAGAGTGACGTAAAAAAAAATTGTTTGCTTATCGTATCTATGGATAATTAAAGGTTTTCCATCATATCTAACATTACACCGACACACACCGATATTTACACAAAATACAAGATCTCTATAGAAAATTCACTCTAATTATGACAATTGTTTGCGCTCGGAGTACAAGAGTCTTAATATAATCTCGATCTTTACACGAAAATTTTTAAATAAAAACCAGTAGTGATTTTATTACACTGATGATGACCTGATGTAAAAAGATCGAAATGTTTGTATTTATAATTGTTGTTCTACAATAACATATTGTATAGAACAACAAACTTGGCTTCTTAGCCTTTTTACGTTTTGATAATTTAAAGTTTTTTTCCTCAAGGGTTCTATGTCTTCAAATTATTGTTCGAATAACTACAAATGTGTGTGTGGTGTGTGTGTGTGTGGGCGCGCGCGCGCACGTGTATATATATATAAAATTCTTTAATACTTAAATAATTCACATTGAATTAAAAATCCAGCTTCGACCGTTATAGGCATTTAATTTCTATTAATTGTGTTCTCACATTGTCTAAAATAAGATTTTTCAAATTATATTAGGAAAAAGTATATAGCAATGTGTGAAAAATCACATAGGATACATTATATATATCTTAGGATGGCGAGCTAGGGTTAAGATATATCATTTGTACTTATATTTTGTCAAAAGTGTTGTTAATAGAATAATCAAGTTGCTACTATCGATAATTAGAAATATATTGCAATATATTTATAGTAATAAGAATATAAGTAGAAATTTTTGTATACACTTACTGACGACCTGAAATCTAAATCTTCTTTCATTGCATTTGTGAGAAGCTATTGACAAATAGTAGCAATCTGTTATAAAATTAATTCTCATGTTAAAATTGTTATAGGTTATGACACGATATATATCAAATCCAGATAATTTAAAATTGATGATGAACATGCTGAAGGAAAAGTCTCGCAATATACAATTTGAGGCTTTTCATGTTTTCAAGGTATGATAGCGCTCAATATTGACTTGAATTTTCAATTCGCAATTAATATTAATTTGTATATCTTAGTTTTTCAATACTTGATACATTACAATATAAAATTCATTTTTCTCAAGTTTAAGTAATCATTAAAAAAAAAATATGTAAAAAATAATTTTATCGAAAGAGAGAAAATAGATTAAAACGAATTTCATTCCTTCGGACCAAAACATATGATTATTTGAGTTATACAAGTATCAATTATTAAGACTAATGTCGTTAAACTAAATAAAAATAACTAGTTTTACTAAGTCTGCGCATTGAGTTCTGTGCAGACTCTCCCACGGCTCTATCATTATTTTTATTCATCCCTTCTGATTGTGTCTAGGTATTTGTGGCGAATCCCAACAAACCAAAACCTATTCTAGACATATTGCTCCGCAATCAGGAGAAGCTGATAGAGTTCCTGACGCGCTTCCACACGGATCGTTCCGAGGACGAGCAGTTCAACGACGAGAAGGCGTATTTAATTAAGCAGATCAAAGAACTTAAGTCTGTACATGATAATTAAGTCAAGGAAATACAATTATTGCTATCGCTACGACTAACTACCATCATTGAGTGCTTTCCAGCAATGTTTACAAATGGCATTGTGTAACACAGGGTGCGCTTCCATGGTTTTCAATTGTGACACAAACATACAGCTAAGATGCTGTGTTCGACTGTGTCAATTTATATTACTTCATAAATATCAAATTATATTTCATTACCATTTAATTTCCTAGGAATAATATTTTAATAAAAAGTGTTGTATTAAGTTTAAGATTATATTCGGACATAGGTGATATGAAACCTTTTTCTTTATTTCATTCTAGTGGTGAAATAAAAAAGTTAAGCAATGAATGCGTTCAGCAGAGAAAATTAATTAGTTAGCACTGAATGATTCTATAATATTATTGGTTCTTGCTTTAGTTTTTCACTAAATCTAAGTGTAGAAATCAATCATATTAAAGAATCACTAAGCACTGATTAGTTTCCTCTGTTGAACGCAATATTTCAGTTATAAGTCGGCACTCTGTATTACTGTGTCATACAGTGTATAATTGTGTTTCATTGCTAGAAAGCACTCGTTACTAGAATTACTGTTGCTGTTGCTAATTACGGTTTTATCACTATTATATAATTATAATTCTTCATCATCATCATCATCATTATTACCATCATCATCATCATCGTCATAATTATTATGATCACCGTCATCATTGTCATCATCATCCCGGCATTATTATTATTAATTTTATTTGTGAGTAAATAATTTACTATGTAAATAAAAATTACATTTATATCTTATTGTACTATACATATAATATATAATCGATCGAGTTGTCATCGTTTTACCACATTTTTAGGAATGAGTCGGTTATTAAAATAGAATGAAAACTTAATTGTCTCTTGATTTTTGTGGTTTTATTTGATATTGTCAGCTTCTTCGTTTGTAGTTTTATCATATTTAAAAAATATCTTACCGTCATATTTTAAAATTGTTGCAAATATGTATAAGTACTTTTTGAAAAATTTATTTCTAGTCCTCGCGTTTTTTAATTATCTCTTTAAAAAGTTCAGATTTGTAGCTTAACGCTTACATTTTTATGATTTAAATCTACTAAGCATTGGTCAACGTTCAGACCGATACTATGCAAACAGAATTTTTTAAATGTAACAAATATATATAATTTACCAACTTTGATATATCATGTGCAAATTCTTTTAACAATAGCTGTAACGGCAATACTCATGTCGGTAAACAGACGCGGTTTCTGCATTGCTAAATTATTTCGATCAGGTTCACAATTGGGATATAATTTCTTTGGGTCCTGAAATTTTTGGAGTTTTACCACTATGGCATCCTTCAAGACTTTTTGTTGAATATTTTTCATTAGATAATTTATTCGTGGACACATTGCTATAGCCTGAAAAAATATTGAAAAATATATAAAAACAGAAAGAAGTCAGAGTAAAGCTATATAAAAAATTATCCAAAAGTATATAAAAAAATTATTAAAGTGCTTAAAGAATTTGAGACTAAAAAATTTAACCCTCAATTACATGAGTGAGTCATTTGGACCAGTGTGAAAATTTTAGTCGGCTGCTATTTTTGTACAGTTAATATTACAGAGTTGAAGTGACTTGGACTTATCAAATGTAAATTCGACAGATTTTTGCCGAAAACGAATAAAAATTCGTTTTTAGAAGTGCTTGTTTATTAGTGCTGTATTCGTGTTGTCTTAAAATTAAAATATATATTCATTGTCAAAAAAAATATTTTTGTGAAAGAGATCTTGGCAAATGATCGCTCTATTTTCTCAGAGTTATAAAATCGTGAATAAAGAATGTTGAAATCATATATTTGATATAAAATATTTTCATTGCATTTTTAAAGAAGAAAATATCCGACATACCTCCGATATCATTATTCAGAGCATGTATAAAAATGTCCCTGTTTCACTCGTGCAAATAATTATATTTTTTAGGGAATGAATTACATAACATAAATCAATATAACGTATTTTTTCTTTCTTGAAGTTCACGTTTTCCTCTTTTTGAAACATTACTTATTTTTATTTGTACCTTTTTATCATAGATATGATTTTTTGGAAAAAAAAGCATTTTTCATAAATTTTTAAAAATATTTTTTGACATAACTTTCAATTATCAAAACCTTATGTTTTGATATTTCGATTCTGTACATTTTAGCATTTCATTAAAAAAAAAAAAAATATTTTTCATTGAGGATTTGTGATAATTACAGAGCCATTTAAAAACGCTGTGGATGACTTGGACTCAGACATGTAAATTGAGATTCTAAAATAATCTCAAAAATGAAATATGTAATTGAGGGTTAAGAATACAAAAATATATATAAGATATGAGATGACGAGTGCTATAAAATTTAAGAATTTAGAAATTATCCTTTGCTTAATTTAGCAAACTGTACCTTCGCGAAATCTTCATTCTGGCTAAGCAACCATATTAAAGTAGCACAATGCAGAAATACTTCCTTATCTTTCAGTGATTTGTTTAGAAGCTTTACTAATGCCAATGCATATTCTTTCTAAAAAATAACAAAGTATTTTTTTATTAAATAATATGTTATATATATATATATGATAGAAGGAAGATAAAATCATCGGCTTTTTCTACCTTAAGGACATATTTTCTCGTGTAGGAGTACTTCGACAGGGTAATTAAAATGCTGCATGCTCGCAGACAGACTTTCATCCATGGTAGTGATCTGTTGTTTTGCACTATTGTATTATAAATGTCGTCGGCTAAGTTTAGCTCACAGAGGATGATACAAATGGTTGGAGACAGTATCGTTATAGTATCTGTATGTAATGATTATAAATTTTATAAATCATTTAAATAAAATAAAATCAAGATTAATAAAAACGAAGATAAAAGATAAAGTTGGTAAAGAAATGAAATATTAAATTTAAATATTAAATTCAAAACAATAATATGAGACGTTTCAATTTTACTTAAAAGGGAACACAACCAAGTGAATCTCTCAAATTTAAATAAACTTTTAGTATATCGTTCTATGGACAAAAATAGGAGACACGTATTTTTTTTATACGTGCTGAGTCGCATGTTAAAGGGGTGAAATCCTCCCTTTAAAAAAATCAGTTTTTTTTTCTTTCAGATTGAATATCATCGAAACTGTAAGAGAAAATAAAAATTTGCAGAATGAAAATTGAAAGACATTAAGATTATTTCGGAATTACCTTTAACGTACGAGTCAGAATGTATAAAAAGAATACGTGTCTGCTATTATTGTCCATAGAACAACATATTAAAACCTCATTTAAATCGGAGAGATTCACTTGGTTGTGTTCCCTTATTAGTCACTTAAATCATTTTCAATCATAATAATGAAATCGTTAAAACGAAAAAATTGAAATAAACTTCCATTGATTGGAGTGTTAATAAATAACAAAATTAAAATGATAAAAATAAATATATAAGAGGACTTTTGACAACAGCTTTTTATGTACTTATTTTATAACGTTTTAATTGATTTTGTTCATAATTGATTCATTCATACTCCAATCAATCTTGTAAGTTTATTCTACCATAATTTTGAAAAAATGAAAATTGTCAATTATATGATTCCACTGAAGTAAAAAAAATTGAAGTTTAAATTGAAACGAATTGTCATAATTGACAATTTTCGTTTTTTCGATGATTCGTGCTTTGCGGAGCTTCGATTACTACGTTGTTCGTTGCCACCTAACCTTTGAACCATGTGTCAACAGGAACGATTTTGAATTATTACTCGTCTGTTTTACCATGAGGTGGTAGAATTTTCATTTGACATAATGAAAATGATTCGAAGTACAGCCGAAACGTTTAAATCAGCTTTGTTATAAATAGACATATAAAAATTATTTTGCATTGATTACCGCGTTAAAACTCTCATTAGCCCTTAATTACTTTTGTTATTGACATTCTCGAGTTTATATTTTAAAATTAAATACATGACCATTTCTATATCTACGGTTGAAATGAACATTAAACATACATGAGCATTACTTACGGACAATATGTTATTATCTATGTTATAAAAAAATGGAGAATTGCATGAATATTTTATCGGCCGCGCTCAGTTCGCTCAGTAATTAAAATTTTGAAATAAAAGTTACAAAAAAATTTAACTATTTCTGCTCAACGCTAGTTATTTTAAAAAATTGTTCATGTGTGAAATTCCATACACGAAAAATTCTAACGTGTAAAGTAATTCACACACTCCCAGCAAAAGTTGGTGCCCATGTTTATAAATACGCGCGCGAAGTTACCTCTCCTCTCCCTTTTCAAAATTTATTTTGAGAATTGTAAATTTGTGCTACATTGTACTTAAATATTGAAATCGTAATATAAAAAATACACTAAAAAATACAAAAACATTATTTTTGAGTCAGCCTCCCACTTTTTCTTAATTTTTAAAAATTGTGCTAGGTTGTGCTAACATTGTACTAAAGTATTATCTTAAATAATAATAATAACAGAAGTTTTATGACTAAAGTAATTTTTGACAATTCTGAATATAATTTACGTTTATATTTGCATAAGTTTTTCAAACAGTAAAAATTACATATATTAGTAAAACTACATATTTCAGTTGTACTCTAAATTAGCACAAGTCAACACAACCTTTGAAATCCTCAGTACAATATGATATTAAAAAGATGCTTTATTCTTGTGTCCTAGTATAGCAAGAGTAAAGTCTTATGCTAAGCTAGCATAACTTACAATTAGATATGCAATTTTATTTTAGCTATTTGAATAACTAATGCGAATGTAAACGTTACTTGTATTCAGAATTGTCAAAAATTATTTTTATTATAATTTCTTTTATCATTATTTAAAAGTAAGATTTTAGTACCAATGTTAGCACAATTTTAAAAAATAGAAAAAAAAAACGCAATAGAAAGGGACTGATTTAGAAACTTTGGTAATGTATCTCTCATATTACAATTTTAAAATTTGGGCACAATGTAGCACAAATCTAGCACAATTCTTGAAATAAGTAAATTCTAAAAATAAGGGGTTATAAGGTTTTATAAATTATTTCGTTAAGAGAAAAAATTCATTATTTAGAAAATGATACGTAAGAAACAGAATTAGAAAAATAAATTTGTTTCTTCATCCAAACTCTTCTTTGTGTCTTTTTAAAACATTGTCACTAATAACGCTTGATCATGCAGTATTATTCCTCAAATGAGAATGAATTTACCTAAACTGTACAAACAAGTGAGCAGCATTCCCACGCTGTTGCAGCTGCGTAGTACATTGATCTTCTTTTGCCAGTAGTCACTGCTCGCAAGTTTTGTAGTAATCATCTGGATAGTTTCTCCACATTCATCTTGAATTTTTGTAGCAAGTAAAGCAATATCATTTACATGGCATTGCACTTCACGTTCTATTTTCTTTCTCTTATAACAACGCTGCAACATGATCGTTGCTTGGCGTAAAGACAGATAACGCAATCTCTCTTCTCTACCAACGATGTAAGCTCGCCAGTAGGCTTGGATGACCATCGCGGCATACTTGCTGGCTTCGTATCTCCGTATTGCGACTTTCATTCTGTAACGTGATTGAATGACTATTGTAGCCTGACGCAATGCGATGAATCGTTTCCTCGCTGTCAGAACTCTCCAGCGTGCTTGCACGATAATAGCCGCGCGAGTTAACAAGTACT